TCTGTGCAGTGGTGCTCCGTTTTGTAGCAGCGAACTAAAAGCCCTGACGTCAAGACAATGAGTGACAAACCAAAACAGCTTCAAAACAAAATGAACCTTACAATACCAAAAAGAACCGCATGGCAGATATGATTCTATCATATCACGAGAAAACTTAGACAATTAGCTCTTAATTGAGTTCTAAATAGGATATCAAGAAACCACATCTGCCAAGGTACAGAATCTGATGGAACTCTACAAATTTGCCCATATTTCAATCGGGACACTCACAATGCGCTTTTCATGTCATGCGAGGTGTTCTTCTACTTACCTCTGTCGTATAAAATGAGTGGTCTTGCATCATACATGGCTGATGCTCATAGAAGTTACTTGTGTCATACACACTGGCCAAGTGAAGGGGCAATTCAATTTTCTTTCTGAAAATTCTTTCCGTAAATCCTAGGACAACAAAGAAAGAAGGTGCACTGTATGTTAACACCTCCATGGCTCTTCGAAGGATAACTGTATCTTGGCCAATAGATCCCTGCTGTTCCGGAGACGATGTTTTAAAACCTTTGCACATTCGTGTATTTCTCACACTGGAGGTATATTTTGAAGTATCCATAAGTGAGATCTACTTCAGAAAATTAGACACTTCCCATCTAAACCCACCGAAAACTTTACGAGAAGAGACAATTTCCAATAATTCCATACCTACTACCTACCTACCTACCTACTTTAAACTACCCTGTAAAAATAGCCAGAAAAATTGCATCAAGGTAGGATACGAATACAATTTATCTTTAATTCAATGTTATTTATATCTGTAGAACAATCTGAGAACTGAACTCTTTTGGCGTATTGTTACCCAGCGTTGATCTGTATCACTGGTGTTACGTGCTCCAATAAACAGTGCAATGTAGGCATTTGCAATACCCTATATAATTAATTCATTCATCTGTAATCTGTCAAGACGACAGGTCCACAGTCTCTTCCAAAACAGTTCCTCCACTTGATGCGATCTACAGCTNATGAAAATATCCTCTTCTGTCCCCAAGGTCATCCAGCATCTTCTTACGTCTTCTTCCTCGTCTTCTGGTCACTTCTATCCGCCCCTCTATCTTTCCTTCAATAACTTCTTTTAGAAGGCAGTTACCGCGTAAGATATGACCAATCCAATTAGCCTTCCGTTTTCTTATTTCGTGTAGGATATTCCTCTGCTCACTGACTCTAACTAACACTTCTTCATTTCTCACATAATCGGTCCAACTGATCTTCTCCATCCTTCTCCAGCGCCACATTTCGAAGCTTTCCAGGTGTTTCTGATCTACTGCCCTAAGTACCCTATATTGGTTGGACCCTATATAAATCACAATATAATTTAATTATTAACTACATTTTTTCCTCCTTCATAAGGCGGCTTTGATACAACAAACAAGCGCACAAAAATGAGGTAAAAGACCTCTTTAAGTGTATAAAGTACCATTACCGTTGATGTTCTGTGTCAGTAGAGCGTTAGTGCGTATATGCTTTCAGGTTGAAACATTGTTCACGAAAGTCTAGAAACATCACATGGATACTTAGGCAAGGCTGGAAATGGGGAGCAGACTCAGGCAAATACCTTCTACCCAGTTCAGGTGCCCTTTCTAAGGAATTGTTTCCAGCGACTGTTAGGTCAACCCTTATTCAGTTCGCAAGGAGCCAGTATAGCGGCTGGCTACGAGCTGGATGACTTGATGGGTCGGATTTCAAGACCCGGTAGAGTCAAGAATTTTATCTTCTCCATGATGTTCAGACCAGCTCTGGGGCCTACCCAGCCTCCTGTCTATTGGGTACCGGGGGTAAAGCGGCAGGAGCGTGATGTTGACCACTCACCTCCAACTAATGTCGAGGTCAAGAGAATGTGGATGTGTACACCCACTCCCCCCACACGCCTTCGTGGTGTAGTGCGTAATTAGAGACAGAGACAACTTAACCTTACCTTATTGAGTTCGCAGACCTGGGCCGTGAAGCACTCCTCGCGAACGTGCTTTGTAATAACTACCTACATAATACGTATTCATTATCACTGGGCTTCGTGATTTTCAACTGATGCTGGACCATTTGTCTAAGTCTGAAAACCCATTTGCACTCCTTATTTTAGGATTACGAATATGAAATACTTAACAGTGTTTCAGAAGGAATATACATGTACAGTATTTCTAAAGCTGACCAAAGCTGTTTTCTGCTCCGTTGTTACATTTTACATGGTTTAGGAAATATTTGTAAATAAACATGTGACATGATGTAAGTTATTGGATAATAAAACTTGTTTATGCCACATGTTTCTTTCAGTGATTCAGTCCTACGCTTCTAATATGAGACGCGAATAACCATACTGTTAAAGAGCCTCTAAACCCATTACTGCTACTGTAAGAATGCTTTCTCTCTAGTTTTTCTACAGAATATGCCGAGCGCATGCCCGCAACATCTGTACATCTCCATGTTTGGAACAGAAACATCTGATTGAAGAGATGTACGTTGAATTTAAAATTAAAGAGTTTTATAAAAATATCGACCTATCTAACATATCACAATTTCTTCCATTGCAATGCAAACAAATCAAATAAACCACTTTAATTATTTTATAGAAAATATGGATTAGAAATCCATGGAACAAGGTCATGCTTTAGAAGCATGTAGTCCCTCAGCTGGTAAAGAAGTTCCCAGGTTTTTATGTGACACTAATGTTCACATTGTAATATCCTATTTCTTTAAGCTCCATTTTAATATCATCCTCCTATTTGAGTCTAGTGATATCTTATCTTCTGGTTCTCTTATCAAAATATTTCAGGCGTAATTAATTTTCTAGTTAAAAAAAACAACAATGTTCACCCGTTGGTGCTGTATTTTTCGAATTAGAATACTTATAAAATACAGATATATTATAACGCAAACATTGTAAAGGCTGGCAATTTATTAATCACAACTGCATATCACTGATTAGAACTTTTCAAAGCAACCTCAGGTCTAAATGTAGTATTGGTGAGTTATGAATGGGCGAAAGAAGTGTGCCACTCAGGACTCTGAGGTATGCAGCTATTATCTTGTAAGTTCTTGGCATCTTCATTTAGACCTGCATAACAAATCATAAACATTAATTTTTCAATAGATTATCAGTATCCTTTCTTATGGATATTGGGAATTCCTTTCCCATGTATTAAATCCAGAGAAAGGGGAATTACCAGGTGATGTCCGCAAATTTGGAATTCTTGTGCGCTTTAGCAACATTGCGGATCACATGATAAATTCATTCCTTCGAATGTGTGTACGCATGAAACAGCCAAAGCACCCCTGAATTGATTTCATTTAAATGCAATATTGAGGACTTGAAGTACCAATTGTTGACACTTATCAATTTTTGTTAAAATAGGACGAATATAAATGGCACTTTACGAGAACACATAGTAATACATTTGTCTCAGTCCATGTCTCCCTAAATATTTATCCAGTGAAAAATACATCCAGTAATTGTTATGGTTAAAAATGAAACACATTTGATATCCAATACACATGTCCAGTTAATATCACAGTTTTTGAGAAGATGAATCAAAAGGGACATTATGGTTATATTTTACGACATGTATATGACAATTAATAATCAATAACGATCTTTCGAATGCAAGAGAAAATTAAAAATCAGTCAACATTGTTTTTCCTAAAACACTGTTTCCAACATTTCCTTTATTTTTCTGATGTGTTGGCGAGCAGTTACCTAGCAATGGCACGCTTATTTATCGAGCCATTACGACGCAGGGGACAATATTTAAGTAGTCATGTCACAGTAAGTATGTATGTATGTATACACTGGTTCGTCATCGATATATATTTTGTTCTCACAGCCTGAATTCGTACAGTGCAATGATTTATATACAAAGTCAGAGTCAGAGTTACTTTACGACTGGCGGTTTACCGCCAATTAGTTCGTCTTGGCAAAAAGCCCCTTGAGACACACGACCAACAATTTTTCTTTTCAACTGAATACTTCCTTTCATACCCTTATGTAACAGCCTCTCTGAGGAGAGGATGGGTCTGTAGCGTACAATTGCCGCTGGTCCTCGCCAGCGCAGTCATTTTCGGGTCCGGCTCCCGCGGGACTCATAACCTTTACTGTTTCAAATTCTAGACTCCCCCAAAATTGAGGGCCAGGTCCCAGTATTTATGTCCCCCAGGAAGAGGGTGGCCCAGTTATACCCCCCGGCACTGGCCTTCCTTTTCGTCACCTCCCACGACTCGCAGGGTTACGGAGGAGGTATTCGACCCCGCCGCCACACGGGGAAACATTTATATACAGATACATATTTAAGCCTATATTCGTATAATTTCGTACCCCTCCTCCTTTTCGTGATGCAAAATTTTTGCCGCCATCATATGTCGTTGACAAACTACGGCGTGCCGCTGGCAAAAAAAAAAAAGTTTCGGAATACTGAATTGCACCAATTACGATGGGTGACACAACATCGCTAAACAAAACCACGATGCTAGAAGAAACAGTTTGCCAGTGTGAAGTCTAAGCAATACACAGGAGTCTCCGGAGACAGTGATCGGATGCAAGATGACGTTTTTATAATATCAGTAACGATACGTTACGGAGTGTTATTTGCAGCACTATGTAAGGCGTTTACTGCCTTTTATGCCATATATGACACGTTCCAAGGGCACTACTGAACGCTATTGAAGCTGCTGAAGTTCCCTGTTATTCTATTTATTTATTTCGTCTCTATAAATCATTGTTACATCATATAGGACAAGTCAGTTACTGTACATTGGCTGGTTACAATAAGAGAATAAAGTTACAATAGATTACAGTAGATTACAATAGTTATGATGGTTATGATTTCATATAGTGTGAGGTGGAATCCATTTCATCCATACCGGTTACTTGTGGTTACTGCTCACGGATGATACAACTGTTCCTGTCCACAGATAACTCAGCTGTTACTGTCCGAGTGCTATATTTGTTTACTTTTAAGGTTTCTGAAATGATCATTTCCGATTCACAATCGTTCAGCTTTGTTCGTACGTCATCTGAGGCATCTGAGGTGTGTGATGAATCAGAAAGTTTTAGAATACGTGATATTGCACAATTTGGCTTCAAGTATATAAATCGCTTTGTCTGAAGCTGTATCAACTTATTCGGGTTTCTTAATAGTACTGTTATGCGGTGGTTTCAAGGCGGAATAGCAGAGGCAGTTGCAGCCTCAAAAACTAGAAATGCAGTCTTTGTTGTGTTTGTTGAAGGTTAGTTCGAAGAGATATTTAAGTTAAAAGATGGTGTTATTAGGCTGTGTTAACGTAAGAGTGTGATATGTGTCGAACATACTGATAATTTGACACCTGGATGTTTGAATATACACAGAACTGTTACTGAAATTTGCAACATTGTTTTCAGAGTTTGCATCTTAACTTGCTCATAACCTTGTACAAATTTGGTTTACGGTCCAAATAGTAATAATGATCCTCTCCGTTCTCTACACAGTGTGCAAGGAAAAAACATACTACGAATGGGGATGTGGCATGTGATCTGTTGCGTAAAGTGCTATGTAATTAGGCGAACAGGTGCCATTAATGGCTAACGAGACTCCCATTAGGCTCAGGTGAAATTAACAAAATAGCATAGCAGTTTTTTTGAGGTATGCTTGACCAGGAGACCCACTATTCTGAGTTTTTTTTTTCTTTTTGTGTTTTTCCTCATTCTCTTGAGAAATGTTGAAGTGCTCCAATCAGTTAGGCCATGGCCACTTCCTTCCACATTCTTTCTAGTTCGTTATGCCCATTCATCCAGTTATTTACTGCTGTACGGTCTACGTTACTGGTAGCACCATTAAATCAACTACAGGTATATAAATAAATAAGAAAGAGGAATTTCCAGTCTCATTCAAATTATTCTGGCAAAGGCAGTAATTGCCTCTGCTCATCATTTGTCATAACAAAGGTAATTTAATTCGTGTAACACCTTGTGTATTTGACTAATTCTAATAACATGACAGTCATCCTTATTTACAGAATTGATTAATAGCAGAAAATATCTGTTAACAGTACTGCAAGTTATGAAAGTTATAAACAAGTATGGTTTTAAGTATACATGTGAACTATGCAGACCCACTTCAAAGGATCACTTCAGAAAGATAGTTTTACCATGTATTTTTCAGTGGGTGGTTGTGTTACTGATGAACTCATAGGTGTTTGTCGCATATATAATAAAAATATTGTTACTTGTCTTTAAGGAAAGCATCCCGTTGTATGTTAGTACTATCATAATTGAGTTTTCGTTTTTCCTGTCCTACACAATAAACACCAGGATAACTCACATTTTACTGTGCATAACTGAGTTATCATTACCTGTTGTGACTTTTCATGTCCGTGAAGATCAGAATAAGTTACAGGCTGTAATTTTGGTTCTCGAGTGACATACATTTTTCACTCAATGATATCAAGATTTTAATCAGGGTGTTTGTGTTGAATCTGTACTGATATTATGCTGGTGTGATTACTACGACAGTTATGTTAATATGGTATGCATTAATATTTCGTCTTTGTTCTTATTTGAAGGAAAAGATGATTTGTCTAAAAGTATAGCTGCAACAATAGATAACACTGCAGTTTCTTCAAAATTGGAATCAGAAGATTTTGTGGTAATAAGACTGGACAGTGGTTCGGAAGCCTACAGACAGTTTGCTCAGATTTGTATCCTTTTTGACAAGTATCTGAAAGTGTGAATATTTGAAGTATGAACATTTTCATTCTTTATCAATGTTTGCATGTGTTTACAGTTATTCCTATGTTCAGCTGTAATGCTGTCAGGGCATCATGCTTAATTGAAGTAAGTGCTTCATGCATTTTTATTTTTTTAAGATGTCAGTGAGAACACATCACAAAATTACAAATGTAACTACAGTAAATATACAGGGTGTCCCAGGAGGAATGTGCCAAACTTCGGGAGGGTGTTCCTTATGTTAAAGTATGCCGATATAACCCAAAACACCTATGTCCAAAGTTGAACGGTTACGGAGATAATGGCCAGAGAAGTGTCAAACTTTGACCGGGGTTACACACTTGTTGATTACAAAATACATATTAAAACTGGCAGGAATATGTGGATTCTGTAATGTTAATAATGTACGTAACATCAAACTAACTTGTGAGTGACGGAAAGCCATAAAAGTGAAGTACAAAATACTCGCTCGCCATGTCATAATTGTCCTTAGGTTTCCAAGCAGTATACATAACACATGACTGGCGAGCGATGACGTAACGTGCTGACTGCGCGTTCTGGTATGAGCCAACTACATAAGCACGGCTAGGGAGTATCATCGCACTCAAGGACAAACATAGATAAGGGCTCTCAGCTGAGAGGTACAGCGAGGTACAGTGCTTGGACCTGCCAGAAGACCACACTTTTCTTGGGCCATTATCTCCGTAACCGTTCAACTTTGGACATAGGTGTTTTGGGTTATATCGGCATACTTTAACATAAGGAACACCCTCCCGGAGTTTGGCACATTCCTCCTGGGACACCCTGTATAGGGTATCTGGCATCAGAATGCAGATTTCCCCCACTGCTTCTTTACTGTACTTGTTTATGGTTCTGTGATGTGAAATATATATGTTATTGAGTAGTTTCAAACACAAAGGGAAACAACAAGAAGAAGTTCTGGAAAGAACTAATCACCTACTTTCCTTTGATACAACGGGAACCCCATAGAAAAGGACATGTATAACAATTCTTCTGTTGGTGTGTGTGTATTCATTGCCATGGTAATGTTTCTACCAAGCCCTTGCCTAGCAATGATAATGGGATACACACACAGACACACAGACTGATGGGAGGAATTTGTGAAGTACACCAATGAGGTGACGTAGGTGCTGTGATATAGATACCAAGTTTCATAAAGATTGGTTCAGGCATTCAGAAGCTGATGGGGCAGGGTGGATACTCAGAGACAGACAGCATGGTGATCTCAGAAACCCACTTTTATTTTTTAAAACTAAGGAATGTATGTTAAAAATGGACTAAGCTGCCATAACTAAATGTTTGTTTCTGACATATGATGTTACTAAGGGATGTGCTTCCTGTCCAAGAACATTGGGTGGGTAGTCTGAAATTATTGGCATAAGTGGTATCTTTTGTCCAAGACTGGTGTTCAGAAAGCCTTCTCAGAAGTTTGCAGATAATAACCTGAATTGGTATAGAAGTACCCTCACAACATAGTATATTACTTTTCACACTGACGACATGGTCAAACTGGTGAAAGGACAGGAAGGAAAAGGAAAAATAGGGAACTTGGTTGCTAGTCTATAATTGCAAAAGATTTTACTTGGTATATTGTTTTTTGAAACATATTCTTTCATATTTATTGCAAATTTAAATGTGTGAAGATAAAAACAAGGCAACAATTGTTAGGCAGTAACATCCACAGATCCTGAATGATTGTAACTGATGCTTTGGTTTTGTAGTTCGGGTTGAGATGAGGTGTGTCATAAACCAGGATATGAATTTATGGCTGAAGGTGAAGCAAAGAGTCTTGATGATGTGCATCAGTAAAAGTTCCATCTCAAGCTTTGATCATACCACTTAATAATAAGTGCAGGAGTTGAGGTGGATCACCTGCCAAGATGTGCACATGCACTGCTGCTGAAGTTTCCAGATTTCCTTACTCTCCCTAACATTGGAAATTGCCTAGTTCACTCTCAGATGCACAGGAATAGTCAAAAAAGATTCCATACATAAAACAGTGACCACTAGCCTGAAGTGAGTTAGTCTGCACTTATGCATAGAAGCAAGGTGGGGTTTGTGTGTGGTAAGACAGTGTGATGAGGGACAGATGCCCAGTGAAGGTAAACTACGCACAAAGGAACACAGCTTGAACACCTCAACATGAAAATAGCATGAGTGAAGTGAATATGTACATTCTCAAATAAAGACAACGTGCAATAATAGGATGTAAATATATTGACATATGAGTTCATGCAGAGCAGAGATTTCAGTCAGGTAACACTTGCCTGATGGCCTCCCCTCTCAGCTACTCTCCACTGAGGCAGCTACAACAATAATAGCCTGGGAACGTTCTGATACATCTCATATAGCTGTAAGTGTACACCTTTTAAAAATATATTGTTGCAGAGTCTTTTGTATCTTGTGCCATACCAAGAAGATGAATCATCCCAACATTCTGAAGGATTTACAGCCTCCTCCTTCAAGGTTGAAGTAAAGTAAAATTTAATACCGGCAGGTTTATATATGAAGAGAAACCAGTCACAAATTTTAATTGGTACAGCACAATGGAAAGTCATTGGTCAGTATTTTGTGACTATGGTGAAGTACAAATGGTTACCCATCCATATCATGACCAGGATCAGTTTTGTAGCCCTTTGTATGTGAATTCTCATGGATGGGTCTACACGTGTATTTTACCACAGTCACATGTACGAAATGCTGATAAGTCTGTTCTCATGACCACATTTTAGACCAACAAATTCTCCTCATATTTTTGTGATTTCATTTTTCTCTGGGGTAGGTTTATATATATTGTCACATGTACAGGGTTGTGTGACTAATAATTGTGGGCTCTAGATTTGATGATTTGATTTCTTTTCCATCTCTATTATAATCACAGTTGATTATAACAGTTCACACATTGAGCTCCTTCTTGACAATGAATCTCTCACTGTATTTCTTCCGTTTCTCAGACTGGTCTCTAGTCTTCAGCTGCTCAGTACAACTGACTCCTGCGAATCCTTTTATGACCCAGTGCAGACTGCAGACAGAACACATACTTGAACTGTTCATCTGTTGCCATGGTAATGCATTGACCAGTAACGGTCTATTTCACGTTGCCACAAGAACATGCTCAGCAGATGGTCATATTGTGGCTTTCGAACATGATATCACAATATCACTTTCTCACTTCTTGTTGAGTTCAACAGGTTTTTACTTTATGCATTATGGACAAAGATGTACCAGTTGGATATATTCCTTCACAGAAGCTTGCTGGGTATATGCCTCATTGTTGTAATAATTGTTGATTTCGGGCATAATTTCACTTGTTTATAATAACATTTCTTTTTTTTATGTGGGAGAAGTAACAAAATTTTGCTTGCTCATCTGTAAAACATGTTGCATCATTAAACAAATAAGTTCCTTAATGTGTAACTTAGATCATCTGGTACCTGTCCCATCCTTGTTCTTTATTGGTGGAAATGGGGTGCCCCTGGAAGTAGTGGCTGGAGAAGTGAACGAGCCTGAATTGCTTCGTAGAATCACTTTAGTTTTGGAAAAAAGTGGGAAAGCTGTGTCACCAGGTAAGATATAAATTGCTTACCGACAGC